CTGTGACGCGCCTTGGAGGGAGGCGAGGCCACGCCCCATATATATATATAGATATATTCGGTTTTATTCTGAACAGGCTGTATATTGCTTCAGAATCTCGAACAATTGACCAGCAATATTCACCCAGCAAATGCCTGACGTCTTTCCCTTGAAGCGTTTTTCAATTGTTAAAATGTCTTGGTGAAAACGTTCGCTATGTTCGTCACTAAAATCGCCCAAATTTGGTGGAAAATAGTCCAAATGAGCATGGAGAAAATGTATTTTCAGTGACATATGTACTTTCATGTCCTGTGCTATAAAATGTACTTTATAACCCGAACTACAGGGAATAAATTCAGATTCCATCTCGGAAAAAATGGTTGTACTGGGTGTTAAAGGTCTTTTACTTTTATCCTCACATATGTTTTCTGAAGGAGCAGTTGGATAATCTTCAGATCGCACTCTTGCGAGAATGACGGATTCTACATCGGCGTAATCAATTTTCTCTCTAGAATTGTACCGAAATCCAAAACTTTTTAATTTTGACATGCAGAAATAACACTGGTCAGATGCGTGTTCGGTAAGTCGCGACGGGTCGAAGCCAAATTGTTGGTGCAACATATTTCATACTGTGTGTTTTATCTTGCAATCCATGCAAACAACGGTAACAATAATCGCATAAAACCTCTGGTACATACCATAAGTTTGGTATATACGTCACCAAAAAATAGTCTTCAAAAGCTGTTACTACACTATTTGTAATATTTCGCATATGGCTTGGAGGTGCAAATAAACCACATACATAACAAAAATTATTTCGATTCGGACACTGCATTTTTACTTTGATTTCAAATGGATGGTTAACTCAACAATCAAAATTAATATGAAAAATTTATCGATTTATCGCTGCAATAATGTTTTTATTTAACATTTAAAAAAAAGTATTAATGCCGCAGATGTGTAAATTTTTTGTTTTTTTGCTGTTTCAATTGACTTCGTATACTTAAATACTTTTTTTAAAACTTAAATTAAATATGTTTTAGGTACACTTGCTTTAAGACTTAAATCAATTCATTTAAATATCTTTTAATTTTTTTTAAAAATGTTAATTCAACAAAGCTCAATTTTTACAAAAAATTGAATAAATAAAAATTGTAATCACCCGACTTTAAAGCATTTTGATTGGCTTAAAATTGAAACATTTTGTTACTTGGTTTAAAAATAAACCGTTTGATATATATATATATATATAAATGTGCAAAACTCTGTATAAGATTAAAATAATTTTAAAATGCATCTATAATGGTTGCCTATCCATTTAGTAAATATATATATTTTTAACTATGCAGTCCAGCTGTTATCGAGTCTATTAAATTATGTCGCGAATAGTGTGAATAACATTTTATTGGATAGCCCTTAAAAAAAAATTATGACGTGATGTGAAAAAACGCCGAGACACGGGTATCATTTTTTTAACTCTATTTTTAGAATCTGTAGAAATTTTTCATGGGAGGGACCAAAAATCAAATTTTGTCGTACTGTGTTATCGTTTAAAATATACATGTATTAAAGGTGGGAAAAAATTAAAACTACCATTAAGGGAGAAAGACATGTCAGGTTTAAGTTAAGTTTTATTTTACTACAATTAATAAGTTTTTATTTTGAATCCAGTACGTTTAAAGAAGACTGCCCTATGAAAATCGTATTCAATTTAGGAGATGATGGGCAAAGTTTAATCTTGAGCAATGTTATTAAAACTGATAATCATGATGTTAATAAAGAAACATTTCATTTATGTCCTAGCTGAGAGTAATGGTTATTAAAGTTCCGAAAAAACGTCATTTGGATGAGAAGTACTCAACCTAAAAAGACTGGCAGAAAACTGGAAAAATGTTTTACTCCGTGATAATACAAATATCAAGACAACTTCGACAAAAAATTACTTGCTAGAAGTGGCCAAGATTTTACAAGAAGATGAAGAAGAAGCAGACTCTGTAATATAAATGTCCCGCAAGGGATTTTTTTTCAAAATGAGCTTATGAAAACAGTTTTTTTTATATCCCAAAATAGTCTTACTTGACGCAACTCACAAGTTGAATAACTTAAGGATGCCACTTTATATATTAATGTCAATTAATGGAAACAATGCTGAATAGTCGTTGCAACATTTTTTTTACAAAATTTACAAGATTCAGAATCAATTGCCCACATGTTATAGATATTTAAGGAATATAACCCATCCTGGACCAAAACTACAACAATATTAACAAAAGAAAAACTTTATCTAGTGAATTTCCGAGTGCAAAATTTTTATTGTGTTTGTTTCACACTCTTAAAGCCTTCCATAATAATGTGACCACCCAATCGATGGGTGGAATGCTTTAAAAAACTAAGCTGTACTTATGGAGTTGCTACCACAAATCATCTCGAATCATTAAACCAAAAAAATTAGTCAGTTTGCACAAAACATAGCACATTACAATGTTTTTACAAAGAATTCAAAATTCTTTTAAAAATGCTCGCAAATGATGTCTAAGAAATTTAATTTCTTGGTTCCAGGTTCTCAAGGGGAATTATATTTTAAAATTATTACGCCTTTTGCTTATAAAATTATAGAAAATAACCTATCAAAATCAGATAAAGTTACATTTGAAGAAGAAAAAGAAAATCATTGTGTTCTGAAAAAGTCAACCTTAAAAGTAACTGCGAATAACTGTCAGTGTATTGAATTCATAGACATGCAATTGCCATCCAAACACATCTTTAAATTTAGAGTTTTAAAAGGATTATCTTTATGCAGTAATGAACTTATACCCCATCAATTTAGAAAGGACTGTTTCAAAACTATGGCCTTGAAGTGAGAACTACATTAACCAATGTTAACATTACAGTAAATGAAGAAAACTCGGAACCTCTTGTCACTACAAAGCATATTAAAATTCAAGCATCACCCAAACGAACCTTTTTAACACACACAAGGTTTGGCCAATTGCCAGCAGATAGCAACCATAGTATCTGAAATGGGTATGGATGACTTTAATAACCTTTAATAACTTGGTACGACAAATGGCACGACACAAACTAAAACACAAACAAAACAAGTTAACGCAACAAAAACAATAATAAACAAACAGAACAGGTTAACACAACGCAATAACAATAATTTGAACAATAAAAAGTAATTCGAACCTTACCGAACGCAAAAAACAAAAAAATAGACCAAGTTAACATCCAACAGTATCGCAAAAACAAGAATTTTTTTTTTTTTTTTTAAATAAAACGCACGTTAAAGATTTAAAAACACTCATCAAGTGACGTATTTAAGCCCCGCCCAACATGCGCACTATCCTATCTTAAGGTGTATGTATCTTGCCTATAGTCCATTCCATTTAATAATAAAGTAGATGTCGCTGCAAAACGAGACAGGTTTACACAGGAGTACTCGACAAATTTAAATATAATGGCAGTCGTCGTTGATAAAATATTATTATGTTACAACAAATATGGACAAATCGTAGCAACCCTGAATGTTCCATACCATGAAAAAATAATTTACTATACTAATTAATACCTTTATACACAGAAAAATGAATGTATTATATTATTTTCAGAAAATAAGAAGAAATAAACATTAATTTGAGCAACATAACCTCAATTATTTAACTGCATTCCTTATTTAAATGTCAGTTCATTTTTTGATGTAGAAAATAGTACATATTTTAATATTTTAATAATTTTTTATGATTTTTATAATAAACATAATATAATAATAAAATCCAACTTATTAGTCAGGGATGTTTACAAATTTTGGCCTGTGTAAATAAAACCACAATTTTAAGCGTTGTGATTGGTACCTATATAATAAATCCTATTCAACTCAGCGCTTTATTCTTAAATGGAATGGACTATAGTTCTGACATCCTAGGCAAATTTTAAAAAGCGAATGCCTAGGATGCCCGAAATTGCCTTTGCAAAACACCCATTATAATAGGCATTGTCTATCATGATACAACAAATCTATTAACGGCGCAGAAAATGGCGGCAAGTTTAAAAAGTTGACATTCGCATTCGCGAATAGACAGTGCGACTAGGGTTGGGACAGTTGAAATTTTCAAATGAAAATTTCAACTTTGAAGGTTTCAAACTTGAAATATTTCATTTAGTTGGAAAAGTGAAATTTTTAAAAATTTCAAATGAAATTTTCAATCCGAAAATTTCAACATTGCCTGTGAAAGTTTCAGAAATTTCTTTGAAAGTTTCGCAATTTACTGAAAATTTCGCATAAATTTCACATGCGGCCTCCCCTGGGACCTTTAATAATAATTTACAACAGATTCCGAATCGACCAATAACTAATTATTGTTACTTATATGCATAAATTAATTTAAATAATTTAATTCAGTTACCAATTTAATTTGTAAATTAAATCAGACTTTAAATTTTTTTTAAGTCATGATTAATTTAAACTTTTACTTTTGCTATAATTGCATCGGAGCCTTTGGCTCATAAAATATTGATGAAGTTTCTTCAATTTTCGTAAAATTTCAGTAAAATATTTAAAAATAATAAATATATATATAATAATATATATAAATATAAAACAATGAAAGTGGCATAATCTCATAAGCTTACCAAAAAGTGCTATATCTCTTTAAGTAATTTTAAAAATATTTTAAAAGGAAATCTCAAGAAATTTGTGGTAAACATAGGTATTTACTATTTATATTATTGGTGCAGGGGCCCACAGAGGGGTAGGAGGTAAGAGAGGCAATTTGCCATGGTCCCCGAGTGGGCTTATTTTAATATTAATATATTACACTCATGAAATTTCAGAAATTTAGGAAATTTTAATAAATTTCATAAATGTCATGAAAATTTCAAGTAAAATTTCAAGTACAAGCAAAAAGTGAAATTTTCCCAACCCTAAGTGCGACCTTACATAATTTTTTTAAATATATTCAACGCGGCGTTTTTAAAAATAGTTTTTAGATTTTGTAATGTGATATATATTTTCCTTGTAGAAAACCTATGGAAAACTAGAAAAGCACCAGTTCCTTTGTCATGGGAACAAGCCGCCTCTCACAGAGGAGATGCTGAAGCTGAGAATAATGTTCAGGCAATTGATATGAGAATCTGGTCTTTAAGTAAATGTGCTAGTGTATTTTCCGATACAGTGTCTCAGCTGAAAACCGAGTTAAAAGGCAAATCGTTCTTAGTTTGGGACAAAGATGATAAACCAGCAATGGACTTTGTTACAGCCGCCGCCAATATTCGTTCATACATTTTCTCCATCGAACAGAAGTCAAGATTTGCAACTAAATGTGAGTATATGCAATTAATATAATATATTATAATTATTATTAGTCGGTTTCTAATATAATCGGTTTGGGTTAAAATCGATTAACCGACTTATCGATAACCGGTTAATTGGATTATTTGTTTTATGAACAGATTCATAGAAGTTGAAGTCGGAAATAAAAAACTTGATTAATTAATTATTAAACTCTGATACAATTTTATTTACTTTATTTCCACCTTCTTAGTAAATGACATTTTATAGGTTAATTTTGTTGTTTTTGTATCCAAAACAATACATTATGGGAACAGACCTGTAATATTTTACGGGCTTGTATAAAAGACCTGTTTAGTTTTACAGGCTTGTAGAATAGTTATTTGTTTTAAGTTTTGAAAAGCGACTTTTTCATGCGAGTGTTCAAGTTGCTCACGAGGCCGTCAAGCCGAGTGTGCATTAACACGAGCTTGAAGAAAGCTTTTCTCACAAGTGAAACACAATGTTTTTTCTACGACCCTTTTATTTTATATTCAAATACAAAACAAAATAACCTAAAAACGTGTTTGAAAATTCTTTCATCTTATTCTTTTAATTTTTAAGGTACAAGTTACTTAAAATCAATAAACTTACCTTCTCAATTTAAATAAAGGCACTAAAAACTAGAATTTATTATACAAACACAATTAATTGTGTTCTAAATGATATTTAGACATATATATACAAATACAATACAAATTTTGAAATGAATGTCAAACGATACTGTAAATTTCTTTTCACACAGACCTGTCACTTTTCGCACAGAAATGTCACTTTACATTCGTGTTTTGCCTTGTCAATGAAAAGATTCATTTTCTAAGCAACAATGCCAATACAAAATGTGACTTTTACATAGTGGTCGTAGAAAAAAGCAATTTATGAAATTAAAAGTCAGATTTGACACATTAACTAAAATTTAAAATTGTTATTTAAATGTGAAAATAAAAGTTTCTACAGGTCACGCTTTGCAATGAATCTTTACTAGGCTCGCCTGACAAAGCTTGACACGTAAATAACTATAAAAACCCAAAATAAACTTTAACTATAACGTATATGCTTTGCAATGAATCTTTACTAGGCTCGCCTGTAAAGATTCTTTACAAAGCTTGACAAGTAAATAACTATAAAAACCCAAAATAAACTTAAACTATAACGTATACAAAACACACTTAAAATATGTAATACTTCATCTTGAAAAATGATGAGCACTTTTATAAATGCTTAAAAAGCACTTGCTTAAGCGCTCAAGCGATTTTAAAAAGTGCCCGATATTTTATTTTAATACATTTTCTCATAGTATTAAACTTATATACAGTGTGACCCACAGTAGCGTGTCAAATTTTTTGGGGGCCCCCCCGCGAACTTTTTTTGAGGCCCCCTATGTCACTATTATATTTTCCAAAAATAACCCATTATAGTAAATATTTATACACAATATCATTATCTAATAGTTAAAAAACACAGCGAATTTTTGAAACTAAATACTTATTTTAATATTTTAAATATCGACTCAAAACTCAAACGTAACAAGTGAAACAACAAAGACTCGCTAATAACCGGAAATTCCCATTAAAACGGGGAATAACCTATGGGAATCACTGCAGTGATTCCCATAGGTTATTCCCCTGCTTAAAATACCCCATAGAGACCCTGTTCAAACCGTTAGATATTTGTATCGGAATGTATGGTGTTTCTATAGGGTGTATCGGTATGTATAGGACCCATAGTTGGGATTTATGGTTGTTCTATAGGGATTGATTTATTTGCTATTGGTTTCAATGGGGAAAATACACATAAATATCAGGGTTGTGATTTTGTCCACTTTTTTTGATTTCGTCCATGATATGGTCAAAATTGGACAAAAACGGACAAAATCGGACAATATTGTAAAAAATCAAATTTTATTCTATTTTATTAAATTTGTTGGTTTACTAAGCCATGTTTGGGCAACCAAAATGTATTTTGTGTTGTATAAATTGAAAATTGCAGAAAATAGTTGTTATTTATTTTATTTGAGGTTAGAATGTAGTCGATTTGTGTTTGTTTCGTAATGTAAGATGTATTTATGTAAGACCTACATAAAGGATGAAAAGATGGAAGAGGTAAGTGCTGATTTTAAATTTTATTACCATTAAGTACCTATTCCTAGTTTCTAGTACTACCTACTTCAACGTTAACCAAAACCTTAAATAATAAATAATGCTTTGAGGCAAAAAATGAATACAGTTCCCTTAAAAACATGGCATTGCAAATTTTTAAACGATTTAATGCATAATTGTAGTCACCGTTCAAAATATTTAACAATTTTCGCGTAATTTAAGGTGGAGCTCGCAGTTTATAGAAAAAAAGTCTTATTTTGTCCCCAAAAATATAGTTTAATATTTAATGGACACCCAGTATATGTTAGTTCAAAGATTATTTAAGTAAGGTATTTATGCCTTATGCAGTTTTTATTGCAAGCTAAAGCTATTTTTGATTTTAATTGAATCCTTTATTGATAAAACAAGCTATGTGACTTTGTGACAACTTTTTAGGAAACGAAAAAAACGTTTAATCGTTTAAATTGTTTAAGATTCAGATAACAACTTTTAGAGAAAACTTTTTCTCAAAAATATGTTGTTATCTGAGATAACAACATATTTTTATCTGAGATAACAACATATTTTTAAGAAAAACTTATCTCCCTTATTATTATAATACTTTTTGGAAAATTAAACGTTTTTTCATTAGACTACTACAAATTTTGCAAAAAATCACTTGTATTATTTAAACAATAAAAAATTCAATTTAATTTCAAACTATCTGTAGCAGTGGGTAGCGTAGTATTTTATGTTTTTGACCAAAATATTTTTTTATTTAGGTGGTGCACGGGCAGGCGCAGGAAGAAAAACAGACAACATAAGGCAGCATTTTGAAAAAATTTAAAAAAACGGAAATTTCGCTGGCTATAAATGCCGGATTTGTAATGTGCCAGTCAGCTCAAAGGCATGTCGGATGAAAATGCATTTTTTAAAATGCTCACAAGCAGCAAAAACCAGTAGAATATTAGCAGTATCGTCAGAAGAATCTGCCGAGTCTGGATCGGAACTGGACTGCCTTAAAAATGGAAACAAAACTCATACTAAAAATGATCATGAAGTTCAAGATGAAGTTCAAAAAACATCAAAACTGCTAAAGCGTAAAGCGGTTCAGGAACTACATTCTGAAGCGGCTCCAACGGCATGGACAAAGCAACCTAAGATAGATCCGTTTTTTTTCAAAACTACAAGTGCAGACAGGGATAAAATTGATTATGCCATTGCAGAATTTTTTTAATCCTGTAATATACAGTTTAGCCATTCCGAAAGATTTTATTTTAAAAAAATGATTTCACTATTAAGACCAGGATACACTCCCCCCAATAGGAAAAAATTAGGAGGTGAATTATTGGATAAAGTTACAATGGCCATGTACGAAGAAGCACAAAAACGATTAAATGGCAAAAGTGTAACATTAATCCAAGATGGGTGGTCGGCAATTCACAACGATCCTGTTATAGCATCTGGCGTTTCAGATGGCGAAAAGTCTTATTTTTTGTCATCCGTTGAGACAGAAACCAATAATAAAATGAGTGAGTATTGCTTATAATTAGCAATTGATGCTATTGAGGAAGCTGAGCAGAAGTTCGAGTGCAAAGTAAAAAGTTTTGTCAGTGACAATGAGGCGAAGATAAAAAAAATGAGGGAAGGTTTACAGAAAAAAATTAATAACAAGGAAGACAATCACAATGAGTTTCACTTTATAGCATATGGTTGTGCAGCTCATTACTTAAATTTGCTCGGCCAAGACATTTGCAAAACTAGGAACATTAACAACATTCTGAAACAAATAACAGAGGTCAGTAAATTTTTTCGTAATCACCATATTGCTAAAGGTCATCTAGCAAAAAGAGGGTTCAAGAATTCCAGCGCTTCCTGGAGAAACAAGATGGAACAGCCAGCTTGATTGTCTTGAAATATTTTTATTGAACCGCGAATTTTACTTAAAAATTATAGAAAATCATGAAGATGCTGTACAACCTAATATTACTTACATTATAGAAAATGTCGATTTGATGAAGGAAGCCAAGTATTTATTCAAACAACTAAAACCTATAAGTTGTGCTTTAGACAGGGTTCAATCAGAAAGTGCTAACCTATCTGATGCGTTATTTGAATTTTTAAGTTTAAAAAAGCTATGTTTTGAAAATCAATTACTATATCCATACGAAAGTCTTATAAATAAAAGATTCAAAGATTGCATCACTTCAGCACATATATTTGCTTTTATGCTAAATCCCAAATATATTGAGGAGTTAGATAATTTAGATGCTGATTTGCAAGAAACTGCGAGAAAGTGGAAACTTGAAGATGTAGATGAAGATAATTTACCTTTATTACTTCAGTTTAATCTAAAATCCCAGCCGTTTCCCGAGACTTTTTTTGTTAAAAGTGTTATAGAAACCCTTACCCCCATAGAGTGGTGGAAAGCGGTTTCAAAAAATGTGACCAATAAAAAGTTCTGCGAATTTGCCCTGCACTTATTTAGATGCATAGCTTCATCTGCAAGTATTGAGCGAATATTTTCCAACTTCAGTTACATACAAAGTAAGTTGAGGAACAGGCTTGGATTAGAAAAAGCATCAAAATTGGTCATGGCATATAAAATGTTGAACATGAGGATAAAGGACAAGGAACCTCCGCCTGAACCTGAAACTTACTGAAAATGATTATTTTTATTAATAATGAAATTTACTTCTACAATAATGAATGATTTATTATTTTTTTATTTAACATTTTACTACAATCATGAATGATTCAATATTTTTTTATTTAACATTTTACTGCTGCCATAGTGACAGTGCCACAACGTTTTATTTTCTATTACGTACTACTATTATAATTATGGTATAATAGGTACCTACTACTTATTATATGTAGGTATTATATGTATTTTACTACAGAATATATTTTT